TTTTTTTAACAAGGTGAATATTTTTTTTGATAATTAAAATTAAAAATCACAATGCCACGCACCCTCTTCTTTCCTTGCTGACTCATCTCATGGTAAAATAGCAAGCTCAGCTCTATTATTGTTTTAATAAATAGCATTTACTTAACAACATGATTTTTGTGAGAATAGATAAAAATAGGTGACTAAAGCATCTCCGTCTCCAGATTTGCAAGCTCCATATGGTGGCTGAAACAGAGCAGAATTTTGCAAGCTTTTTCGCCTCCTTTTTCTGCAGCCGTCCTAACTGCATCCGCCGGACCACACTCTTATGGACGTGGCCTAAACTTCCAAACACCAGAATTATTCATTTACAATTGTAACCAAGTTGATAAATGAGATCTACAAGTGGTTGATATTTCAATAGTTTGGAGTAGTAACACGTATCCATATACAGGTCAAAACAGCAGGCCACCTCAAACATTCACACAGATTTCATAACCTCATTTACAATCACAATATCAGGAGTATTTGGAAGGTTTTTAAAAGACTCACTGTCAGATGTATTTTGATGAAACCAGTTAACTTGTACAGTACTATATGCTTATGAATCTTAATATCATGTCCACAGATTACCTTGTTCAAGTCCTTTGCAACCAGATCAACTAAACGGTCGTGTCTGGCCACATACAGTCCTTTATAATTGTAGCATCCATTTAATATGTGAGCAACCGTTTCATGCTCCTGCTGAGTTGGATGTAATATGCAGTAGGGTTCATGCTTTGATGGGTACCATGTTGCCAGATTGTACTTTGTTGGGAGACACTGTAATCTTGCTTTAATCATGAATACTTTAATATCATCTGAGATTGAAGAGTTTTTCAGTACAGGATGAGACACTGAATGGTCAGCGAATTGAAGTAATGCAAGTTTTCCTTGTAGTCTGAGGCCCGTCCAGCGCTGTCCGTTCTGGGTTTGTCTGAGATGAAGAATTGAAGCTCTCGCATGCTTAATCTGTAGTTGGTGAGGTGTACTGTCGTTATTGAGGATTGCCAAGGTGGAAACCAGCGGATTGGTGATTATGTTATCGTCGAGTGCAACTACTTCTCCGCCGGGTCCAAGCCAGGAAAGCTGTATTCCTATACGGCCACAGAGTTCGTTTAAGTCCAGCCAATCAGAGCGCGCTCCAAATCCGTCTAACTTTCCGTTCTGCTTTAGTTTAAATCCAAGAAACTGAGGCTCGTCGGTGGAAGCGGCAGACGCTGTAGACGTAAAAACAGCGATTCACGTGCTAATTCTCTAACAGTTGTATCGTCATTATTGAGCATATTTAGAAGATGTCCTGTTCTAGAAGCGGTGTAAAGCCATTCGATGTTTGGGGCGCCGAGGCCTCCGTCTCCACACGGCTGGAAGATAATATCCCGAGTTGTACGGCTATTAAGACAGAACCATTTCCTCACCATCTTTACCGTTTCATCGTTCATCAATGTGCATTGTGGAATATGTACGTTTGGGAAAAGATGTTGAATTTTAGCCACTGCAATCAGCCTGATGGCTTCAACTTTCATCATTATGGGGAGTGGGGCATAGTGGAGTGTACTCGTGACACAGCTCTGTGATCTGTTCCTCCCAATCACCACTGATGTTAAATTTATGTCCCAGATAAGGATAGGTTTCATGGGTTTCTGCATTAATGAAAAGGCAGGGGGTTTATCAGACTTTGCTCTATATACCATCTGTTTCCTCCACTGCAGCACATTTTGTATGTCTAAACCTGACCACCTTATGAACTCGTCTGTGCAGAGGAGCATGTTGGAAATTACACTTTCATGATCTCTTGAAGAGATTTCCACATGGTCCGCATAGCCTTGCACTGGGTTTGGAGACCTGCAGGCACGCACTGGCACAGCCACTTCATCCAGGAGTTAATCGCCAGAATGAAATTGATGGCACTCCACGGGCACCCTGTTTTGATTCCCATTTTAAGTGGTATGGGGACAGTTAGGGCGCTTCCACATATTACTTGGATGTAAGAATTATTATAAACATCTTTAATTATGTCTGCACATAGCTGTGGTAGTCCTATTTCGTTCAAAACATGATCTCATGGGGTAATGTGCCAAATGCATCACGAAAATCCAAAAAGACGACAAAGAGCTCGGTAGACAAGTGTTTGAAGTCATCTATTCCCGTTTTAAGACAGAAGACATGTTCATTCATCCCCTGCCTATTCTTGCCAGTATACACTTCAGATCAGCCCGTTCTCATCCTTTAACGTCATATAGAACGCTATATGCAAAAACTGTGCTATACTACACACATGGCACCCTTTATCGTTAATATAACACGCGAACCCAAGACGTTATAAATCCTTTAGCATGAATATGACACGCACACCCTACCCCACACCTAAACTTAGCCTTCACAGCACGTGTTATATTAACGATAACATGTGCCATGTGCGTAGTATAACGCCGTTTTGTCATATAGCGTTCTATATGACGTTAAAGGATGAGAACGCGTTGTTCAGATAGACTGCAGGTAACGGGGAAATATCTCTCCAGGTAGACGGATCGTCAGGAACATTATCTTTTTTGGGAATACGGTGGATCAGGGCCCCTTTCCATGATTCTGGAACTTTACCATTTTCCAGACAGATGTTAAATATATTGGTCAGAATTGGGCACACCGTTTGTTTGTTATTTTTCAGTGTTTCATAGGTCACGCCATCAAGTCCACTTGCTTTATTATTGGGGAGATCATTAAGCACTTTCTCCACTTCAGTGACAGTGAACAGCGAAGTGTTAGGTTGGCTAAGTTGTACAGGGAAGAATGACCCAGCCCATGATAGACACACATCCAAACCTCACAGGCCCGCATTTAGAAGTGTAGTAGTTCTGCACAGATGGCACATTATCCTCAACAACTGGTACACTTGGGTATGTACTGTTGTTAAGAATAATCTTGATTGCTCTAGATTTTCTATTCTGCCATAGATATGTAAGTTTATCTTTGCCCACCTGCTTTTGTGTATGGGTTTCACTCCGTGGCGCTCCCAGTGCTGGCTGAACAATGTCCCGTAAAAAACGCAACTCCGCCTCGATCCAGCCGGCAAGGGAGTACGCGGTTTGGGTCTCAGGGAGGCCTCCGCTGACTCGCAGCATTCTCTTCAATACACGGACTGTGAACTTCAGGAAAGGTAGTCCAAACTGTCTTTCATGTCACACACACACACATTCCAGCAATGATAGATCCAGTCTTCTGTACGTGTTCTTTGGTCACAGTTATGTCTTCAGTAGTGCTTCTGCTCGATCTTGTACGTCGGCCAGGTTGAGGTCTCTCGTCTGCTTGTTACACAGGTTGGTGAGGGCTTCTGGTAGATCCGGCATGACGGCCTTTGGCACACAGGACGCTGCGTACTCTTCCACAACAGACAGGACTACTGGTTTGATGATCTGCTTCTCTTGTGTGCGGCACTGCGAGAGGTTGTTGTAGAGTTGGGCTTGCTCAGCAGCGGTCAGAGGGGGGCAGAATGACCTTTCCAAGATTTTCCTTTTTTATATTGCTGAGACTTGTTAAAAATGAAGTCCTTGCCCTGCTGATACTCCACTTTCTTTAAAGAGTCCTCTCTTGGAGTGGCCCACTTGCACTTGTTGGATGTTACAGCTATCTCTTCTTTTCTTCATTGTTATGCTGCCATATGCTGAACAACACACGAAACATGGGAGCCGCTCTCACCAAGTCCAGCTGAGCGATTGCAGTCGGCTCCCAACACAAACCCCTCAGATAACAGATCACTCGAAATTGTCATTTAGACACATGCATTTTCTGTAAAGCTGCTTTGAAACGATATGTATATGTGTATAAAGCTTGCCGCAAAGCAAAAGAAAAAATGTGTCCGGGAAAAAATACTCGAGGAGATATTTTAATAGTTTCAAGTGTTTACTGAGTGTGTTGGCTGCAAAGATGATTATGCACTCAAAGAAATGGTTTTGTGGCACTGTTCTTTATACCCAAATATGTTTTGTTAAAGTAACACACATATTTCTTTCTTTTGAAATATTTTACACATTTTTTCTATCTTTGCCTCACGTTACATACTTCATATAGGAACATCTCGCGGCACGAATGTACCAATGTCTCCTGTTTAACTTAAATGCTAATTCTTTGCATTGTGATTTTATTTTCTGTTTTAGGTGCTCTTACTCAGCAGATGGGGACAGACGCCGTCACCCGATTCACATGTGCCAGACCGGGCTTTCATGTTTAATGCACTGGATTGGTTGTCCTTTCGCGATCGCGATACATAGGTGAAGCTGTCTCTTTAATTGCCCACTTTGCTTGGGTGTGCGTCCCGCTCAGGAAATTCGATAGCTGACTTTTTAGAGGCCTTTAGGTAGCCTAAAAATATTAATTGTCCATTTTCAATCATGGACATACGACATTGGCTCAAGAAAGCTCAAAGCTCCACATCACAACAAGACGAAATGACACCGCCTGCCTTCGCTCTCACCGCAGGACACCCATTCAAACACCGGCGATAAACCCCAGCAAGTGCCGCGGCCGATCGAGTGACCAGCATTTGACTGTCTTAATGAGTGAGTCATTTAATCTTTAAATCAGCTGTTTAAATGGACTGATTCATTGTCGTCAGAAACTATACGTCTAAAATGTAGTCAGTTTCATTTTCAATACTTCACACATTTGCAATACTGCTGATATTTGGGGGAAAAGCACTCTGTGTGTAACATTTATTAACTATATTATATGATATAAATGTAAAGCACAAAAGCTCGTACAGGGACATAGGCTACTTGATCATGCAGATCACATATAGTTTAACATAACAGCAATTACAATATTGTCGTAGACACTAGGTATCGCTCAGCCCTATTTTGAGCACCCTCACTATTTTCAGAAGCACCCTCAGTGATTTGGTTCCAGAACCGGGCCTGCCCTCTGCTGGTACAACACACACACATTCAGGATCAATAGTTGTTCTAAAACTCCAACATTTTTGAGTTTATACTGTGCGTTTATACAAATAAAAAGGTTAATCTATGAATGAGAAAGTGTAATTTGCTGTGAAATAAAAGGTGTTTCACTGCCGCCTCATCAGGTCTGTCAGAGGATGGTTGAAATCTAAATGAACTAACAGTGAAGTCACTGTATCTTCAGTCTCTGTTGATTCTGTTGACTGAGTCTCTGTAGTGGATCCTTATTCACCATCAGATGATCAGCAGAACATCAGACTGTCATCTATAACTAAAATAAAACACACACAGTCACATATGCAGTATGAGATATTACATCTGTCACATCTTTTCATAAGAAAACTAACTAGATAATCTATAATAATTCCTTCTCCAACATGATAATATAGCTTCTATCTGATGCTCAGTCACTTTACAAAATCAAAAGCACATGAAAGGTCACTTTCACACAACGGACAGCTGATCCAGAACCAGCTGAAATCATCATTACACTCACTACAGATTTAATATCAGTTGATAACCAAATCTCAGATTATCACACACATAAGGCGTCTTTAAACAGAAAAAGCAGCACAGAAACCACAGGCGTCACTTTTGTTAGCGTGTCAGGCAGGTCGCGTGTGTGTGTGTGTGTGTAATATCGTCCTCAAGAAGATGATTTCTGGAATATAATATAACACAGTGACGTGAATAAGCATTTACCGTATCTGAGAGAAATGTAGCGGCGTGTTGATCTGCCAGTCTCTTCAAAGGAAGATTACTAACAGCCAAAGCCAATCGATTACACACACGACGACTCTGTTATTTTGCTGGTTTGCTTCACGATGTGAGTACAGGACTCATTTACTTTATTGTCTCTTGTTGGCTGACATGTTTTAATTTGGCTAAAACAATATGGAGCTCGGCCTATATGTGTTGTCTTCCGCTTCTTGACTGTCGCGCCGCGCGTTTGGTTGTCATGACAATGGCATAGTTTAGAGCGGCACAAGTTGGCGCTCATTTACACTGAACCAAAACAATATCAGAGTCATCTTTGACACTAGCGGCTGAGGCGGGTCAGGCCGGCATATTCTCAGTTTGCTTTTATGCGGCATTGTGTCTTTACACAGAACTTTGAGCAGACACAGAGCCGCTTTAGAGCAGCCTTAACTCGGCTGTGTAAAGATGCCTATAGAGACAGTTCAAGGGGAAAAGATGAACATAACATTCATATTATTCTCACAATCAGTCACAACAGTATGAGCAGAATTACACTCATATTAAACAGTTTAAAGTCCAGAGACCGACAGAAACTGAAGCTGAATTTAAGACTCATTATCTGATGATCTCAGACACAATCTCCACACACACACACACACACAAACACTAGGGGTTGAACCGACTAGTCGATTAGTCGACCTTAATGCAATGCCGTGACGCTTTTAGCTTGACGTCGACTAGTCGCGTTGATCATGTGACACTATATGATTGCGCTAATTTTGATAGTATATGGCCGCGTTGCAGACGACAACAGATGAAGAGCCTAGAGGGTCATTGCAGCAAGAAAGCAGCATTGGTACATAAAGCGTATGGAAATACTTTACTAACGTAGCACCACTATATTGTTGAAAACGAAAGTAAGCATGACGCACGCTCACTGTTTTACCGGGAAATGAGAGCAGTCTCTTTTAAAATCATTCAAACAGCCTATTTTTCCCCATATATTTATTTAAACATATTAATGCATTTCTAATTCACCCGCAATCAATTGGAATATTACTTTGTATTACTTAGATCCATCACTAACGTGCAGATGTGAATTTATAGTTTTTTTTTTCTTTTCATCCTAAATGATGATGTAAACAACGGGCTGTTTAGCTTCATCTGGCCACTTCACCTGTTTCTGTGATCTGATTGCTATCCGATCGTGAAAACACCAGGTGTAAGCTAAATGCCCTCCGAAACGCATTGGAGACGGATTTATGCTCAAACCACTTCACGAGGAGGTCTGGGACGCTTTAAAGACGAAACTGGACACATACATGCATCTGGTTGTTGAAATCGCATATGTAAATTGGACTTCTCCCAAAAATGCTAAAATAAAACGCGTGAGAGCAGCCTATGCTATTATTTTCATGATGAAGCTATAACACGCACCGCAGCTGAGCATCTATCCATAAAGCCAACGTGCAAACTATCGTAAATCAAAGTGAAAGTAAGTCACAGACGCTTAACACACAATCATCTTCGTTAAAAGTAAAGAAACAAAATTATCTTACCGGTGCTGTCTCTCTCAGTGCGGTCTTTGAGTTTGAAATTAGCTGATGATAAAAAAAGCTCATTACTGTTGCTACCGGTGATGAGAACTCCGTTAAATCTGCATATAGCGCGTTGTTTGAAAATCGGATTTATATCCATTTTGCGAAACATATTTATGTGACCAGGTGTAAATGGAATCGTTTTGATAAATCAGATCAGTAAAAACGCATAGTGTCCAGGTGTAAACGGCCCCATTATGAGCTGTCAGCGTCACTTTCTGTTAATTGCAAATTGTGGCATGTTGCAAATCTGTCTCATCTCTTGTGTTTTTATGAATGACGTCAGCGACTAGTCGACGTCGACTCGACTTTGATGTCATAACAGTCGACTTCAAAAAATCTGAAGTCGTTCAACCCCTAACACACACACACACACACTAGTTTGTTACTGAACTTGAACCTTTATTATTATTTCTAGCGAGTAAAACAAGTAAAACAGAGATTTGAACTTTAAATGAAAATATGATGATGAAAACTGTTAAGAACTATTCTTACTCTAGTGTCTCCAGTTTATAATGTGGATCATCCCTCAGATCCTCCAGCTGGTTCACTCCTGAGTCTCCTAGATTATTATTATACAGATGCAGTTCTCTCAGGTGTGAGGGGTTTGATCTCAGAGCTGAAGCCAGAGCAACACAACCTTCATCTGTGACTCCACACTCCCACAACCTGTAGAGAACAATGACGCACATTAAGCCTATATCCAGAGATAAACATAACACTTAAACTATAAATAACATAATGCTGTCAATATGAAATATATATCTCATACTCATGCGTGTGTGTGAGAGAGAGAGAGAGAGAAGTATATGTATGTGTGTGTGTGTGTGTGTGTGTGTGTGTCAGTGGCACAGCCATCACACACACACACACACACACACAATCATTACAACTGCACATTTTTTTGGGTATAAATAGCCTAATGTATTGTGAAGCAATATTTTCATCAGTGTGTTATATTTACCCCAGGGCGTTATTTACCTTTATAATGGCACTGCTTTAATTTTACCTTATTAAATGTATGCATCATCTTTCATGTCAAATTCTTACATTTGATCAATAAATTCAGTTAAAATGGGGCTGTTACCAATTAAATTATATTATATAGTCTAAACACTGCAAAATTGCAACTACAATAAATGAAGAGTTCAGATGCAAAAGCCTCTAAATGCCATTTGAAATTTTCTTCTTTAATGATGATTTTTATCAAACTTGTATATTTAAGTTCAGTAATTTCACTTAAATAACAATTAATAGGTAATTATCATTGCCATTTAAGTGAAACCACTGAACTTAAATATACAAGTTTGATAAAAATCATCATTAAAGAAGAAAATTTCAAATGGCACTTAGAGGCTTTTGCATCTGAACTCTTCAAATAGACTAATGTTATGAGATTGATGTTTTAAATAAATGTTTAAATATATACAAGAAAACTTAAATAATACTTATTTACACGTGTATGTGTGTGTGTCTGTGTGTGTTTGTGTGTGAGAGAGAGTGAAACAGACCAACTAAGGGAAAAAAGCATTGCAGTAAATCGCGCTGATTAAATCTAACGATCGTTTATCTTATCATGTCAAACCATGCAAATTATCCTTTGTTCTCAAATTGTTAATGTTCAACGTCAGCATTGCGTGACTACATGTAATGTCCTTCTGATATTATCCTTGTGTTGGCATGGGCCGTTGCAGTCTCTTTCCCCAAACTCTCAGTCAGAGTCTTCTGCACGTTACAGCGGTGAGTCTCCAGGTGTCTCTGGTGATTGTCTTTTGAACCTTTCTGGATCCACCGTCAAATTAATTAGTTTAATTATATCCAATGCTGTGAGAAAAGGCTATAAATCTCCACCTCCTGCATCTATACACTATCTACATATTAACCCTTGAGGCGCCAGAGGTTTTTTCGTAAAACGTTCGATTTTGACATCTTAATTTCATAAGGCTTTATTTTAAAAGTAAAAAATTAATTGATTCTGTAAATTAGAGGGAAATGTAATCCCTACATAAACTTTTGGTCATCCTTAATATTTCTCTAATTTGCATATTATGACACTCTGATTCCATGTATGAGGCACAGCACATATATATATATATATATATTACTCATATGACACACAAACACAAGTAGACAAAACCTGTTTAGTTCAAAAGATCACTTGCGACGGCAAGGCACAGATCATGAGTAAGATGATACGAGCGCGGTATGCAGTATGCACACTATTGCGACTCCTCACCCTGCCTTCACGTTGCCCCCTATCTGTACTATGAACACTTCGACCTCGTCTAACATACCCAGTGATAATAGACAGACTCCACCACAATACTGTCGCCACGATTGCTGAGAAACTCTGATGAAATGGCTCACTCTCATACTAGCTCCGCTGTTGATCGCACTGATTCAATGTGCTGTAACTTGAACATTTTGTATAGAAAAATTATGATTTTTGAGTTGGGGATGAAGTATGACATGTCTGCCATCCAGTGGAGGGGAGGTCGAATGAAATTTGACACCCAATTGGACAAAATCTGCCGTTTTATTCAGTGACGCATCTTGTCGAGTAAACTTGACCGTGGCGCCTAGAGGGTTAATCCTTATTCACTCAGAGTCTTTATGGTAGAGATGATCTTACCACAGTTTCTCCAGTTTACAGTGAGGATTCGCCAGTAGATCAGAAAGCTGCTTCACTCCTGAGTCTCCTAGTTTATTATCAGACAGATTCAGATCTCTCAGGTGTGAGGGGTTTGATCTCAGAGCTGAAGCCAGAGCAACACAACCTTCATCTGTGACTCCACAATCACTCAACCTGTAGAGAACAATGACACACATTAAGCCTATATCCAGAGATAAACACAACACTTAAACTATAAATAACATAATGCTGTCAATATGAAATATATATTTCATATTCATGTGTGTGTGTGAGAGAAAGAGAGAGATAGAGAGGTATATATGTGTGTGTGTGTGTGTGTGTGTCATGGGCACAGCTGCACATTTGCTGAGGGGTTTGCAATATCAGTGTTGGCGCCACCCATTACACACACACATGCACACACACGCACGCACACACACACACAAACAAACAATCATTACAACTGCACATCCTTTGGGTAAAAATAGCCTAATGTATTGTGAAGCAATATTTTCATCAGTGTGTTATATTTACCCCAGGGCGTTATTTACCTTTAGAAAGGCACTGCTTTAATTTTACCTTATTAAATGTATGCATCATCTTTCATGTCAAATTCTTACATTTGATCAATAAATTCAGTTAAAATAATAAATGGGGCTGTTACCAATCAAATTATATTATATAGTCTAAACACTGCAAAATTGCAACTGCAATAAATAGACTAATGTTATGAGATTAATGTTTTAAATAAATGTTTAAATATACAAGAAAAGAATTAAATAATACTTTCAAACATGAAACTAAACCGCCAGTAGGGGGCGGCAAGTGACCGTCTTAATAAGAGAGTCATTCGTTCAAACGATTCGTTCAAAACGCTGAATATACTATAATGTCCGAAATTCGATAATGATACGATAATATTCATCAAAACAGCTCTCTTGGTCGTGTTATGTGAATAGCCTAAATCATACATTATATTATAAATGTTCAATATTTATTATCTTATTTATCTGCTGTCGCATCTCTTGACACGTCATCTCGTTTTCCATCTCTCTTTTTCTATTTTTAGCCCCACAGCTTTTGTGCTTTATCACAACAACTCACTACTTGTACTCGTGTGTGTGTGTGTGTGTGTGTGTGTGTGTGTGTGAGAGAGAGAGAGAGTGAAAGAGACCAACTAAGGGAAAAAAGCATTGCAGTAAATCGCGCTGATTAAATCTAACGATCGTTTATCATATCATGTCAAACCGTGCAAATTATCCTTTGTTCTTAAATTGTTAATGTTGAACGTCTGCATTGTGTGACTACATGTAATGTCCTTCTGATATTATCCTTGTGTTGGCATGGGCCGTTGCAGTCTCTTTCCCCAAACTCTCAGTCAGAGTCTTCTGCATGTTACAGCGGTGAGTCTCCAGGTGTCTCTGATGATTGTCTATTTAACCTTTCTGGATCCACCATCCAGTGCCGATCCTGACCTCCCTGGGGCCCTAAGCAAAATTCTGCTAAGGGGCCCTCTACCTGACCCGTGACGCCGTGACGTGAGCTCATTGATATCAAGAATTAACTTTTGTACAAGTGAACATGTAATTCCTGATATCAAAAATAGACATTGGTAGATAAAAATGTAACTAAGGGGCCTTACTAGTAAAAAAATAATCAAGAATTCACATTGAAAATAGAAAAAATAAAATTGATATTCTTGATATCAAAAATACATAAACTGTGAATGAATAAAAGCTAAAATGGCTTGCCATGGCATGTTAAAGTTTTTTTATTATTATTATGCATGTTGAAGCAATTCTTGATTTATGGTTATTATTTACTGAGGGATGTGCATCCATATTGACCAGTATGTCCAGCTAATCAACATTTTAAATTCAATATAGCCTATATATCAATAGTCAATCAATGACAAATTGTCAATCTTGCTTTCCATCTTGCATAATTAGTGCTGCTGCAGTTATTTAGAATGTTTAACTACACATTGACTGAGACTAGATAATCAGTTTCTTGTTTTAAAAGTATGTATGTATAATGTGTACTTTGATGAGGAGTGCCATCATTTCCCGCCCATATATTGTACAGTATGTCCACATATATTTCTGCTTGAAAAAATGCGCGTTTCATTTCGTGCACGCGCATATGAACACGCATGATAGCCTAACACACGCGACGCGGTTATCTTTTCCGAGCTGCAGTAAACAAACACCGTTGCACAACTTGCACATTGTTTTGTATCAAAAACAAACGTAATAAATAATTGTATTTTACTCTGACTTTTGTCAGTCAGGCACAAAGAGAAGTGATGCAAGAGATGCACTGCCTGTCTGCCCAGCTAGGTCAGCAAGACTGAAAAAACACAATAGAAATGCACATAAACTTAACTTTACTTTGCTGACTGACATCAAACTTGGAGAGGAGAGAACACAAGTTTACCTAAATGTTGTTCCCGCAATTCACTCTCATGTTTTTTCTTCTTTCTCTTATCGTGAGAGGGATAGTTTCGCTTCATTTTGTCAACATTAATTGACGCGCTATGGGGAGGCGGGGCCTTGAGTAATTTGCGGGGCCCTACGCAGCTTGCGTAGTGAGCGTATAGGGCGGATCGGCTCTGCCACCATCAAATTAATTAGTGTAATTATATCCAATGCTGTGAGAAAAGGCTATAAATCTCCACCTCCTGCATCTATACACTATCTACATATTAACCCTTCAGGCGCCAGAGGTTTTTTCCTAAAACGTTTGATTTTGACATCTTAATTTCAAAAAGCTTTATCTTAAAAGTGAAAAAAAGATTATGTAAATTAGAGAAATATTAAGGATGACCAAAAGTTTATGTAGGGATGACATTTTCCCTCTAATTTGCATATTATGACATCATATGGTGGCAGCAATCTTGGATTAGAGCATTTTCATGAAAAGTCAGATGTTTAAATGATAAAATGCAGCACTTCTTTCCCCCCAAAATGTCCATCACCTTCTGTATGCTATATTGCACAATACTGAATGCTCAGGTATATAGTAAGTAGTAAACAAACTGATGTGTAAATCATTACTAATAAATGGTAAAACAAACCGTATGCATGTAGTGGTTGGCCTTTTGCTGTAGAGATTTTCCATTTACTACATACAGTAGGCACTCTAATTCCATGTATGAGGCACAGCACATATATATATATATACATATTACTCATATGACACACAAACACAAGTAGACAAAACCTGTTTAGTTCAAAAGATCACTTGCGACGGCAAGGCACAGATCATGAGTAAGATGATACGAGCGCGGTATGCAGTATGCACACTTTTGCGACTCCTCACCCTGCCTTCACGTTGCCCCCTATCTGTACTATGAACACTTCGACCTCGTCTAACATACCCAGTGATAATAGACAGACTCCACCACAATACTGTCACCACGATTGCTGAGACACTCTGATGAAATGGCTCACTCTCATACTAGCTCCATTGTTGATCGCACTGATTCAATGCACTGTAACTCGAACATTTTGTATAGAAAAATTATGTTTTTTTGATTCGGGGATGAAGTATGACATGTCTGCCATCCAGTGGAGGGGAGGTCGAACGAAATTTGACACCCAATTGGAGAAAATCGGCTGTTTTATTCAGTGACGCATCTTGTCGAGTAAACTCGACTGTGGCGCATGGAGGGTTAATCCTTATTCACTCAGAGTCTTTATGGTAGAGATGATCTTACCCCAGTGTCTCCAGTTTACAGTGAGGATTCGCCAGTAGATCAGAAAGCTTTAAAAACCCTCTTCACTGTATCCTGCATCTGTTGTCTGGTTTGTAGTTCGTCCGGTTTATTTAACTGTTGCTTTTACTGTGTTTTGTGGGATAATAATATAGTGCGATGTAAATGTTCCTCTTCAGGGAGACTCCTCACCGCTGTCTTCTACCGCCGGCAGGATCTGGCGGTTCAAGCAGGAATCTGTCGCTGAACCACCGGACGGGGCTTACGCCAAACATATATCCTATACACTATCTACATATTAATCCTTATTCACTCAGAGTCTTTATGGTAGAGATGATCTTACCCCAGTGACTCCAGTTTACAGTGAGGATTCGCCAGTAGATCAGAAAGCTGCTTCACTCCTGAGTCTCCTAGTTTATTATCAGACAGATTCAGATCTCTCAGGTGTGAGGGGTTTGATCTCAGAGCTGAAGCCAGAGCAACACAACCTTCATCTGTGACTCCACACTCCCTCAACCTGTAGAGAACAATGACACACATTAAGCCTATATTTATTTATTTATTTATTTATAAACATTTATTAGAGGATCAGCCACATGAGATGAAACATCTTGTTTTCATGGGGGTCCTCAGTAATATTTAGAAAAGTAAAGAAAAGTAAAACAACAGAGTAGATACACTATACAGGATACAAGAAAAACCTCAATGCACACACACACACACACACACACAAGCTCTCACTATCCCCCACTACCCAGATAGAATAAAGTAAATCACAGTGGTTCCCAAACTGTGGTATGAATACCACTAAACAATAAAACCTTGATGGTTAACCTTGACCTTAAAACCAGCATGATGATGTTCTAAAAGTCAAGCATTTTGAGAGTGGTGTTAAGTGAGACACACAATAATCCCAAATAAAACTGACAAAGTTGACATCACTAGATATGTATATTTCTACATATAAACACATTCATACACCCATGGATAACATGACACAAATTAATGCTAAATCCGAAATACTAGAAACATAGACAAGTATTCTGAAGATGTGTTAACAAAGCAGTTCGGAAAAGAGGAAAAGACGTAAGCGAGCGGATAGATGCAGGAAGGCTGTTCCAGTCACGAGGGGCTTCATTACAGAAAGCATAATTCCCAGTTTTTCTCTTTACTCTAGGGACAGGTAAAGAAGATCTGTTCGTTGTGACGAAGATTATATTGTGAACTAAAAGGCACTAAATATTGGGATAAATAATTTGGTTATTTAAAGTAAATGCATTTAAATATAAGTTGAAACCAATGATATTGTCTTCTGGCTGAGGGTGCAAGCCAGGCCAGCTGGTCATACATCACACAGTGATGTGTCCTATAGGGGCAGCGAAGGACGAATCGGCACAGGCTGTTGTATACCACATCGAGAGAGTGTAGACAAGGGGCAGTAGTGTTAGCATATATGTAGGAATGATGTAAAATGTTCCTCCCAGCCTTAGGGGGAGCTGTGTTCTATGAGTGTTTCACTGTGTGAGTTAGGCTTTCTTTACATGGGTGGAGCTGTTTTTAATTCAGTTCTATTTCCTTGTGGAAAGGTAAGGAGGGTTTTTTTTGGTGTTCACTGCCACATCTATTTAATTTCTTGAATTATATTGGCCATCCATGTTATTTTAGAAAATATATAACTGTTAAAGATGAAGTGAAGAACCCTGGGGTATGTCTTTATCTACACCTGTAAAATTCGACTGACTACCCCTGAAGGACACACACTGGCGACGGTGATGTAGATATGAATTGAACCACAGAAGAGGAAAAGGCCAATTGAGTATAATTTATCCAGGAGCAGATAATGATCAACTAAATCAAACGCTTTTGTACAGGGATGCAAACACATGTATGGCCAAAAAAGAGAGAGGTAATCGAAACCCTCGCCCACGGAAAATATCCAGATACTTACATTGCCACCACCCCCTGCCATCCCCGGCCCACCCCCTAGGCACATAGTAAATATGTTTCAGCCTTTAAACCATTTTTCACCAAAAAAAAGGGTTTTATAAAAAACAAACCTCACATATTTCAGCCTTTAAATAATTTTTCACAGAAACAAAAGGCGTTATAAAAAGATAAACCTCCTATATTTCAGCATTTAAATCATTTTTTATAAAAATAGTGAGTGAGTCTAAAAGCTTATCTTTTATTATTAGTAAAATCTGGTCCAATTTTCCGTGGTGTCTGTTGTTGCCAACCATCCATGCACTGCGCTCTCCACAACGACAAAGACGTTTTAAAAGATATTCACTACCGAAAAACGCTTTCTGTAGCTCTGCTACATGATTTATTTGTAAATACATGGTTTTATAATCACTATGGTCCTGAATTTGAGGCAGGGCAGTTTGGGGGGTTCGGGGTTTCCCCGAGAAAATTTTGGATTTCTCTAAACTACATGCATTTTAAGATATTGTGAAGGCAAAAAAAAAAAAAAAAATCGATGACAACAGCTTCAGCTTTAATTTACTAAAGGCTACAATTTATATTTTATTCTCAATATGTACACATTCATTATTAATCCTGTGTCTAACATGATGAAAACGGCTTTGTTTATGTTTCTTGTCCCCTCACAATGACAGTAGCCTAAACTATTACACTAGGCTACATGTTACATAGGCCTATTTTCAGTTCAAAATGGTGAAATTAGACAAAACTATATTAGTTTGCCTAATTATTTTTTGTATCATTTGTTTAACATTTATGACCTGTAAGACTGGAAAAACTGGTTAAAGAGAAAATATCTGACCAGTGGCCTCTAAAGACAAAAGCATTGCTTGCAAATTAACATTTGACACCCTACCCCCTATTCTCTGAACATCTTATCTGCATCTTCTCTCTTTCACTCTCTCAGTCAATGATACTGAAAGCTCACACAAGAATATGGTTTTAATGTGAATCTGATAATCTTTAAGGATTGTTTAGAATCATTTTGATGGTCTCAGGGTGACTGGTAATAATGTCTCATTCCCAAAGTAATAAAAGAAAAGGTAATAAGGTTTTTAAGAAGTTTAGGAATCACTGTCACACAAAGGAGTGTGGTCTTTGAGTTAACACCTTCTGCCTTGTCTGAATGCAAATTACAACCAAGCAAATGGTCTGCCCCCGATAAACATGGTAGGGGGATTCAGTAACTTTCCATTGAAACCTGGTGATTTACATATCAGGTGAGGTCTGATTATAAAGGGAGATGCAACAAGAGTTCGAGGCTGCCTTTCTGTATTCAGATCACCCCATGATGTTGTGTCTTCAAGGCTCAGCTCATGTAATATGTTGGGTAAAGTTCTTTGTTCTTTGAAACATTTGATGGTTTGCTCTGATTATCTTGTGGAATTCTAATGATACATTTACCTGACATAATAAATTGTTATATTTGGCTATTCTAACAGACTTTGACTTTATTTTCATTAGAGTTAAAAGGAACAGTCAAGCATTAACTTATTAAACAATGCACAGAAATCATTGATAAACCCTTTTCATTTTATGGAGTCAGATGAAACGAGTTAATACATAAGATTAAATGTATTGCATTTAATTAAAATTCACTTTGCTTGGAAAAGACGGAACGTGCTTGAAACCTTCACCACGAATCGAATTCCTCAATTTGGGTCGATTTCGTGGCCCTTTTTACAGTGGTGACACGCCTCCGTGATCGCAACAGATGGATTTCGCGAGCAACGTCCTTTCCAACAAAGTACGGGAATCTTAAAATCAACAAGAGGTTTGAACATCTTCCTTTCTTCTGCCACTGTGGTAAGTCAACTTTTTCTAATCTTTTGAAAAGTGTTGAGAAAATGTTGTTTGCCATGGTTGCGGGTCGGAAAGCCCTTTTTAGTCCGAAACTAAAACGTGAGGACATGATAACGACCGCGGCGCGCAGATAAAAGTGTAAAACCCTTGTTTAATAGATTTTAAAGATATCCTTGTTTGATTAGGCTAAAAGAAAAGAAACCTAAATTTGAAATAACATCTTTCAAATGATTTTCGGGTAGACTTAACGTTACTCTAGGAGCTATAAAACAAAACTTCCATGTTTGTCTTCATTATTGTAATGGCTTTGTTGAAACAAACCAGCAACGTGAAGAGAATCGACAAACAACAGAAATAAAAATCTAAGTTTGTAAACGATCGGAAAACACGTGATTTTATAAATAAGGCAGATCAATGCATTGTTTATGATAAAACAAACTTTGAAAAACACAATTATATGATTTACAGGCTAAGACGCCAAGTAGCAGGGTTAAATGCTAGTTTTCCATGCTGTTTAGAAAAAACGAGGCTAAGATAAATGCTAGTATTGCCCATGCTGCTTCCAAAACGAGACTATAAATTCTAAAGCCATGCTGCTTAAACAATGATGCTAACGCTAAACCCATGCGGCTTCTAAAAGGCTAATGCTAATGCTAAAAACATACTGCATTCAAACGCTTAACCCTTTGTGTGACCAGCCCACCGGGCCCTAGGCCACATTGAATGATATTCTAGAATAAACATAAACTAATCTTGACAAACTTTATTTTGCATTTGAAAGCTTCCACTGTAACACAGATGGGATTAAAAAGCAATAATGCAATAGTTTGTATTTTCAAATTTGGGGTTGTGCTTCACACAATGTAACGCACTCACAGAACACACTGTATAGTTGTTTGTGCTACTATATGTGCACATAGGCTAAATGTAAGTTTATTCTTTAAACACAGGATTGCTTTACTGTAAGTGTTTTGGAACACTTAGGTAAAGGCTGTTGATGTTGTATTTAAGGCCATGTATCCTGTGTGAACTGAATTAAACGTGTGTGTGTCTATGCTGAATGTGGTTATAATGTGATTCACAATGCTCATTCATTCTTGAAAAGAATGAGAAGAATTTGAGACAAAAATACTTTTCATATTCGGAAAACAAAATAATTCCACATTTTCACATCAGATTTGGCGAAAACAGGATGATATTATTTCCAGGCAAGATCAATGATAATACTGAATGCTATACATTGCATTTGAAAGCTTAAAAACTTTAACACAGATGGAACTAAATTATTTAAATTTCTCTAAAAAACAAACCTCTATTTGTATTTGATATGCAACCTGGTTGCAGAAAATTAGAAGACTTTGCTTGATTGCAGGAGCTGTTCAATGTGGCGAGTCTGTAAAAACGATGGCAGGATAAACTCTAAAACATTGTAACATGCTGGAGTAATACAAGTATATAAAAGGCGCCATGGTAACATATTCAAAGCTTTATAGGACATAGACTTTACCTCTCCACTTAATGGGAGCTGTTTTCGCATACAAAATTTGTAAATGGTTACGTTTGAACTAATTCTGAATGACTCTGAAAGGCTGGTTTTTCCCTAGATTATTGGATTCGTATATTTCCACATCTTTCGCGTCAGATTAGCGACGGCTAATATCCGATACCATTTTAAGTGTACTTGAATGGGGGGACAAGTTATTTCCGACTAGAATCAGCAAAGGCTGATTAATCAACCTAGTTTTGGGTGTGTCCATATCCACTGTTTTAGGTCAGTGATCACTTTGGATAAACGTGCGTGGTTT